GTTGAGAAGAAGCTGGCAGAATTAGGCTTGACCTAGGAGGATGAGATCGATTTTGATGTGGAAGATGATGCGATCCTTGAGGCAGCTGGGGTGTACAAGGGTCGGGTTCCGTGCATGGGGGCTGAAGGGCAACATATTTTGTACGTCCGCAGCGGCAACGGAGCTTCATCTTCTCGATCAAGGCGGGGAGAGTATCCACGCATCGCCCAAATGCATCGAGAATTGGAGGAGGAGCAGCGGGCATTAGAGCAGCAACGGAAGAAGGAGGAAGAAACAAGAGCCCGGCAGGAAGCGATGGAACGGATCTTAAACGCCGGATATCAGCCTCCGCCTCAGCCTCATCCTCGGCCGTACATATTGCACCCCGAGCAGACTCCTCAAGTTCCGTACATGGGCAATATGGGTTATCATTCTAACTCCGGATATAGTAACATGCCTACGATGGATCCGACATTCGAATCTTTGTCGTATGGTTTCTTGAATCAATTTCAGTCATCTGGAGGACCCAACCATGGGCTAGCCGAGGAGGTAGCCGAGGAGGCAACCGAGGAGGCAGCCGAAGAGGAACCCGACCCGAAGACCCCGTGAAGCCCGAAGACGATGATTATGATGATAATGATGAATATGATAATGATGAAAATGATAATGATAATCCTAGTTTTTATCATAATGGAGTCCGACGGCCGGGCATGTAATAGTACATTTTTAAGTTTAACATTTCACATTACTTTTATAATTCCATTTTGTAACAACTTTTATTGTGTATGTGTGTATGAATTTTGTTTTTTAATTAATGTTATAATTGCTATACTTTTTAAAATACAATCTTTTTCTTGATAATTTTTTGAAATATTTTAACAACAATTTTTTTAAAGAAAAATTAAAATAAGTTTTTAATTTTGTTTTTAAAAAAATGGAAAAACGTTTTTTTTTAAAAAAAAAAATTTAGTCACGGATCTGAGCCGTGACTAATTCTTTAGTCCGGAATTCTTTTATAAATTTAAAATTTATTTAAAAAAAAAACGAATAGTCACGGATTCATGACCGTGACTAATACGAAATTTGAAAATTGGAACCGCGGGTTTTTGAAAATTTGAAAATTTGAAAACTTAGTCACGGCCGTGTCCGTGACTAAAAAAATTTTAAAAAAACTTAGTCACGGATCTGATCCGTGACTAACGTGCCGGAGCAGATATTCCGGTGAAGAATTAGTCACGGATCTGGTCCGTGACTACATTTAGTCACGCCCGATTAGTCATGGATTTAGTTATGTTTCTTCCTTGTTCCAGTCACACAATTCCTAACCATCGATTATGATCCACAATCAGATAACCAGAATCATATATAATGGTACGGTTCCAATCCTTGATGGGTCGGTTCCGATTCTAGAACTGTTGTCCTCAGTCCCTTGAACTAATTTAAACGACTATACATAGTTCAAGGGCCGATAAAAATTACTCCATCACAATTCGAGTATATGAATTTCCAACTGGAGTAATATCTCGTTTGATGTGAGTATAAGGCCGGAGTGGGTACAAACACAATTTTCCTTAGGGTTAATTCTCAAAATAGGACTAAAACTCATTCACTTTGCACAAACAGGACAAAAAAGTAAACTATGTTTTCATAGCACTAATTATGTGTGATTTGGACAAATATACCCTTATAGCTATTGAAATATTTTAATTCATAATAAAATAATACAAAATAATAATTTTTTTAAAAAAATACTAAAAAAATAATAAAATATTTAAATAATAATAAATAAATAAAACTAAAAAATAAAAAATAAAATTAAAAAAATAAAAAACACACAAAAAAAATCACCGCCGCCTCTGCCACCCCAACACCACCACCTCCAATCATCTGGGAAAAAAATGCTAAATTCATTACAAATGTCATATTTATGGTAGAAAACAATGAAAATGTTGGGATTCTCAAAGAGAAATATGCCATTTTTTTGGCATTTTCAGAAAAAAGACATTTTTTACACTGATCGGAGGTGGTGGTGCAGGGAGGTAGTACAGGTGGTGGGAAAGAAATCCATATTTGTTTTTAATTTTTTATGCAGTTTTACTATTTTTATTAACCTTTTTTAATATTTTATAAATATTTTATTAATTTTTTAATTAATATTCTACGACTTTTTCAATTTTATTCGAATTTATTATGAAATAAACACTTAATTATAACTTTTGACTATCTGTTACTCATATTTAAAGGAGGAGTAAGAATGGAACAAAAAAATTGGTATGTTTTCAATATGACTAATATGGTCATATTTTGGAATAAAAAACATAGGAAGTCCTGTTTTGAGTTTTTGCCATAGTTTTAGTTCTATTTGAAGCTCTATTCCTTATTTTTCTTAATTAAACGTGATCCTTGAATCCGGTGGGATGGGTAGTGCCGTAGTTTCAAAGGTTGAATTTCTTATACGGTATTACTCAATTAGACATACTTTTATACAAATTTATTAAAACAGTCAATTAATACTTTTTTTTTGCGAGGAGTCAATTAATATTTTAGTGCATGTTACAAACGATTTATCTGACCCGGTCAGCGGTCACCTATCCATTCTATTCCCTTCATTTTCACCTCATTCTCTTATCATTGTCACCTAAGTTAAAGGTACGTAATGACGTAATAATGTCATTGCCACTTGCACATAAAATGCTAAAACTGTTTTATTGATCATGACCTAAGTTAAAACTGTTTTATTGATTATGAATCTTATGTGTTGTATGTTATTTGTCACTGATATGTTACTGGTGATGTATGTGTGTTGTGAGCAGGTTTTTTATGTTCTAAATTGGTAGGAGTCTGGTTGTTTGTGGTTTTGCAGGTGCAGGGGGGAAGTCGCCAAACCGTTTGGCGACTTATAAGTCGTCATCCGATTGGGCGACTTATAAGTCGCCAAACCGTTTGGTGACTTTCCCCGATCATGGTTAAATCCAGCATTAATTCGGAAAAAAACTCAGAAAATTGTCACAGTCAACCATTTTTTATTTTAAAAATCAAGGAATTTTATATACCCACAACCATTATCACTAGACTTGATTTTACAACTATGCACCAACACCAATCACTTTCTTTTTTAAAAAACAGATTATTGAGAAATATTAATACAGACTTTTTCTCAATAAAAATAATCTTGATAATAATAATAAATTTTCTAAATAATTTTTTATCTAATAATTTGCTCTATGATAATTCCGTATTTTTATTTCTATTTTGGTCTGTAGAAAATAATTCAGAAATGGCATGGAATATAAGCCCCTACTTACTCAATTACTTACAATGATAATTTTTTTGGGGACAATTCTTTGTAACCTAGGATATTTTCTTTTGGACTGTTTTCAATCCCAGAGCAGATCAGACCAGACCAGACCAGATCAGACCAGACCAGATCAGACTTGACTTCCGTAGTTATAAAATACACAGAGACCAGACGTTTACCAGACCAGACCAGATCAGACCAGACCAGCAAATTTCAGTCCAAAAGAAAACATCCTTATATAGTATCTCCTCAATGTTAAGCCCAACATCCTTGAAATGAGATGTGATTCGAACATGTGACTTCCTTCTTGGGAGTGTAGACCACAATGTACTTGACTATTAATATAACAACAAATATTAATAACACAATTGTTTTAATTCCAAGTATCAATTTATATTGGGAAAATGGAAACTAATAATCCAACCTTTTAGCGGTCTTCTTTCAATAATCTCACCTTTTGATTATTCATGAATAATCCAACATTTGCACCTCATCTTCATTCACTGGTCCCTGACCGGTTGATGACCTGCTATTCCAAGCTATTTTATTATCTTTGCAAATCATTATACCATAAATCTCATCTTTCGCAAATAGTCAAAGTTTGTTTTGCATCATTGAACGTGGCATTCAAGTAATCTGTATATTCGTACTACTACTTCGTCGTACTCCGTGTATTTCTTTATTTCCTATTCCCCTTTACTTTTTCATTCCATCTTTAGTATACCCAATTAAGTCTTATGTTTATGATCTTATGGGTAAAAATTAAAGAAAGTTTCGATGTATATTTTAGGTGAATCAAATTTATCAAACTATTACCTTTTTAATTGAACGAAACATCGTAAGCTTTAGTAATTTTCAACCTTTCTTTTTGTCTATCTGTTGCAAATTTTACACGGTATTAATAAGTTTGACTTCGAATAAACTGTTTTTCTAGTACACGTAATTGCCACATCATACATACGCATTAAATTTTGAATAATCTCATAGCTTAAAATTATTCGTCAACAGTGATATTCACATCATTAGTGTTTCTTGGAAATGCATTAAATGCGTTTTAACTATAATCTACAATAATTCGGGATTTGGATCTTGATACCGGATTTTCTTTTTAAATAATCCACCTAAATAATCTCTTTCGCTCAATGTTAATCTTCAAAATAATCTGACACATCATCTAATTAATCTTCAAATAAACTCACCAATGGGATGCTCAAAGATTAAAGCAATTTTATCAATGTAAGACCGGAACAATAAATGAGTTTTCAATCTGGAACCTCAAAGATTAAATGTATGAGTATAAAACAAAAACTATCAATCTGGGATCTATGTTGTTATGATTTTTTTTAATTTTAAACTATTATTTAGCCTTATCAAAATAATAACTTTTGTAAAGAGAAATTCATCAAAAATTAGCAATTGAGTTAATAAAAAATTAAATAAATAAAAACATATGAAATTTTAGCTCCTATATTGATAGTTTTCAATCATTCAGACCTTATATAGTTATACCGACATATTTTATCTTTCAAGTGCCGAATTGATAATTCATATATCTTTCGGGTTTTGGATTGATAAAACCCATTTTTTAAAAGAGAAAGTGAATATGAAAAACAAAATAAACTTTACTTTAGAAGATGTAATTGTGGAATTTGAAAAAGGGTTGTATGGACTATTGACTGATTATTTTTCCCTATTTAAAGAAGTGATATCATCCCTAACTTTCACCATTAAATTGAACTAAATAAAATTCGTTCAAGCGGCCACACAACATTTTCATGCCCATAGTTTGTTGTATAGGGAGAGATTAAAGATGAAATTTTGGGGTGTGTCTTCAATACTATTCCTCATCTTATTAGTTTTAAAGGAGATTAGGGCGGGGAAGGAGGAAAATGGGTGGGTGACGACCCAAGGTGTGCAGTTCATGTTAAACGGAAGCCCGTTTTATTCGAACGGGTTCAATGCGTACTGGTTAATGGTCGTTGCCTATGATGTAAAAGAGAGATCCAAGGTCACAGAAGTTTTCAAACAAGCCCAAATGTACAACCTCACCATTGTTAGAACTTGGGCTTTTAACGACAATCCCGGGAATTTTTCCTTGCAGTCCAGCCCCGGCGTCTACGATCAAACCATGTTTCAGGTTTGTGTTTATAGGAGAATTCTACGGCATCCTCGAATTTGTACATAGTCTAGCGGGGTAATTAAAATATTGCAATTGATTAAATAATTCCAACATAAACAAATAACAAAATTATGACATGGACCAATCAAATGACAGGTAGGCTATCCTAACTTATTAGTGGAGTACCGTACGTAATTAACATTCATTCATATTTTATGTGTGATGTGATACTAGGTAGTGCCATACATGAGTGAAAGATTTAATATACTCGGTCTACTTGGTAATATGGTTCTTAAATTATATGGTTCAAAAAATTATATCTTCCATTTATTTGTACACGGTATTTTACACGCCGTTAACCGGATATTAAATTATTTGGTATATATTCCGGAAACTGAAATCGTGGTGTTCTAATTAAATTGTTTTGGGGTGGATGATTTGAAGGGGCTGGATTATGTGATATCCGAGGCTGGGAAATATGGGATAAAGCTGATCTTAAGCTTGGTTAACAACTATGATGATTACGGGGGGAAGAAACAGTACGTGAGATGGGTATACCCTGACCGGAACTTGTCTGCTGTTTCGAATGCTTCCGATGAGTTCTTCACTGATGAGAATGTCAAACAGTTGTACAAGAATCACGTTCAGGTCAGCATGCCGCTCCAACGTAACAATATATATCCGGAGTATATATAGAACTATACCATCATACTCCGTATGTAATTATGTATTAATGTACTTCGTATATATGTATACGGGACAACGCCACACATAGTAGAAAGACATTAAAAAATGGTCAACTTGAAAGTCAAAAGTCGATCACTAATTATAAGTGTGAAAAGCTAAGGCATAAGTTCTTATAAATTATTTTTTGCTAATGAAATAGTTGGATCAATTCAAATTAAAACATAAGTACACTCTTATAAATATGTTACCTATGCAATCAAATAGTAACAAATAATAATATAATAATATATTACTACATATTATGGATTATATTTTTCTATTTCTTTTTTTGACAACACTTCTAATATATTACGGAGTATATATCATATGTTCAATGATAATGTCAACATTATATATTTGGTCTAATCTGTGACCTCCGCTTGGAGAACAATATGGATATCATCAATCAAAAGGTACATATCAAACTTTTGTTATTTTTTATACTTTAAAATGAATATATTCATAAAAGAAAGTAAAAAATATGCCCCTGCACACTTGTATAGTTTTTCGGCATTTTTTGTATATCATTGTACTCCGTATAATTTATCACTAAAAGTTTACACGCCTTTCCATGCCTTTCCACGCATGGGCTTGTCAATTCCATTCTCGAATAGATTTAAAAGACTAGAGACTTGACCTTGACACCCAACGATGAATTTAGGGACGATGGGAGCAGGGGGACCACCCCTCTTTGAACTTTAAAATTTTCTACTATTAAAATCTCAATTGGAGTTGATTTTCATAAACTTTGATCGTTCATCGTTCGTTATTCAAATTAAACTTACATTACCTTATCACACAAAGTAAATCTCACGAACTATTTTCAGTCCCAGACTAAATCAGATCAGACTAAATCAAATCAAATCAGAGAAGATCAGAATAGCTTAGACCTGACTTGGACAATTATAAAATACACATAGACCGAACATTTACCATACAAGACCAGACCAGACCAGACTAGAAAATTCCAGTCTAGGTAAAAACATCCCTAGTCACACGATAGTTTAATTGCACTATAAATTACTTTTCGAGACTTATTTTCTTCTTTGTACAGGCTGTGCTTACGAGGAACAACACCATTAGTGGTGTTGTATACAAGGATGATCCTACTATAATGGCTTGGGAGCTCATGAATGAACCTAGATGTCCCTCCGATGTGTCTGGAAACACCCTGAAAGTATGGTGTTCTCAATTTTGTACTCCCTATATATGTTTTTAAGGGATAAACATTTACTACTCCGTATCATTTTTATGGGGAGAGTGTATATATGTCACATTTCTATTTTTATAATCTACAATATAAAGATATGATGTGAGAATGGGGGCAGGGGGGATAAGGGAGATGAGTCTTTTGAAAATAAAGAAAAATATTGAAAATGAAAGGATGAAGAAGTTATTAATTTGATTTGAGATTTCATCCTAAAATTAGTGATCAACCCCATAGGAAGAGTGACACAAGATTTATATCTTTGATTGTATTTTTATATGCGGTCAATGTGGGCGGGGTAGTGACTCATTAGAGCAGACCAATCAATCTTTTATCATATTTATTTGTTTTTTATACCCGGCCGACGACGTCGATTATTAGATTAATATGTCACTGCAAGAAGGTGACTAGTTCGATCTGATCAATCTTGTTGTCATTGTGTTCGTTATTGAGGCATACCAATCAGTCTGTGTGTATATTTACATGAGGCTAATGTTGAATAAATTAATAGAGAAGATGGGCCTGAAGAAGTAAACGGGAAGGAAGGCAAGGCCGCAAAGGGAAGGGTAAACTATAAAGTGAGATTTTTTTTTTGATAGTAAGAAAATAATACAATGGAACAAGTTTAACAAGTTTTTTTTTCAAAAAAAAAATACGTTAATTAATAAAACGTAACATATGAGTGGTGTAAAATTTATTATGTATCACTTATTTAAAAAGAGAGGTAATCTGCACATTAGTACATTGGTTTAATTTGTAGTACAAGTTCTGCAATATCCGTTCTTCAATTGGCCATGTGTTCTAGATTGTAAAATAGCTTGTGTTTTGTGGACAATAATTTGTGCAATTAGGATGTTTTCTTTTGGACCGTTTTCAGTCCCAGACCAGATCAGACCAGACCAGACTTGACTTCCGTAGTTATAAAATACACAGAGACCAGACGTTTACCTGGTCAGACCAGACCAGTTCAGACAAGACCAGACCAAACCAGATCAGATCAGACCAGACCAGCAAATTTCAGTCCAAAAGAAAACATCCCTAATGTATTACAAACAATTAAAAGAAAGAGAGCATTTTTTTTTCAGAAATGGATAGCGGAAATGGCTGGCTACTTGAAATCCATCGATGCTAATCATCTACTAGAAGTTGGGCTGGAAGGCTTTTATAATCCATCAAATGGCTACAAAAATCAGGGACTGCCTTATTATCAAGTGGGGACTGACTTCATCAGCAATAATCAAATCCCTGAGATCGATTTCACCACAGCTCACCTTTATCCAATCGCATGGTATGCAAGTTCACTTTCACATGTCATTAATTCCTCTATAGATACTATTTTGTTTAACACAGTATCTTTTTATCTTTTAAGTCTGCATATTTTTTCCATATCTAGTTATTTGCGTCTTATATATTTTTGAAAATATTTTATTATTTACCATGTCTTTACATTTTGGTAAGTTTTTCGTCTGCAATCACATAAGTTATGAATATTTTTTTTAATCCAAGGGACGTCAGAGGAGGGGGATAGGGGAGCCTGGAGTAATTTAGGCTGAAACTCACTTTATTGAGTTCTGAATCGGAGACCTCCCGCAAGGGAGAGTGAGTCGGCGATCAGCTGGACTGGACCGATTCCTCTAATCTCTTACTTAGTACTTTTGTTTACTTTAAATCTCTTTTGTATTATCAACAATCTCTCATGTTTTTTACATTTTTCTCATGTTTTTTTTTACATTTTTCTACTCCATTCAATACCTCTAGTTTGACTTGAACTCTATGAATTGAAATCTAAATATAGTCGCACGTGAATAAATATGAGGGTGTTTTCTTATATTACGGGAAAAACCAACATCTAAAGCAAAATAACGGGATTTTCCCTAGGTTTCTAAAAATGAGGGATTCGGAAATGGCAATTCCGAATGGAATGATGGGGGTTGGTTGGGCGGGAGGGGTAGGGGGTGGGAGGGTAGTGGCAAGATTAATGTAAAATCTCATTTTTTTGTTTGAAGTGAGGTAACTTTTTTATTTGTACTCCAAAATTTACAAAATTCATACCGAGTAATTTTTATGATCTTCCTAATGACATCAATATTACATATATAAAGTTTAATTTATTATTTGACTTTTTAACAGTAGAAAATTTTCAGATCCAAAAGTTTTCTTAAATTGATTCAAATGCTAAAATTAAGATCTCATTGTTACAATAACTCTTTTTTAGATGTTAGAATTATTTTTAAAGCAGGGTTTTAATTTTAGTATTTGTATCTATTTAAGAAAAAATTTATATCTGAAAACCTCCTAGTGCTGAAACTTCAATTATAAAAGAAAACACTTTATATACATAGTGCATAATAATGTTGTCATATGAAAGATCGTAAAAAATTATAAATTCTGATATAAGTTTTGCATGCAAAGTATAGAGAAGCAATCATTTTGCATGTAAAATAGATTACATTGTTTGGCTACATGTACAGTTTATTTTTAAATTGCACGCAAAGTCATTGCAGTGCTTCAGAAAATGCATGCAAAGTATTTTTCCATCATCCCCCACGTAAAATACTTTACATGGTACAGTGCAAAATGTTTTAAAAAAGTGCCCTACAGTTTACATTAAATAATCAAACCAAACAGTGTAAACATTTTACGTCCTTACACTTCGCATGCAAAGTAATTATTTTACATCATACCAAACGCCCCCTAAATATGAAGTAACAATACAGGAGCAGACCGTAGTAGAGATTCAAGAGGGCTACTACCCCCCAAACAATTTTTTTAGTGTATATATATACGAAAAATAATTTTCGCCCCCAAAAAATATTTTGAATCCCCAAGAAGAATTTCCTGGGTCCGACCCTATAACAATATAACTTTCTGACCTTTTGTGTATATATGTCCCTATGTTAATTTTTTTGTCAAAGAGTATGTAGTGTATACGTACTCCGCAGACCGCAGTATTAGTTTTTTGTCCCTACGTAGTATTATATTTCTCTTCTACGCAAGGCGTTAGTTTATTTGGTAATAAGATATCAAATTCATAAATTTAGAGCCTAACATGAAAATAATAATGAAATGTAGTTATGTAACCACTCTCATGACATAAACTCTTCGTCTCTATTACCATACATTTGAAGCATGAATACAAATTAAAATGTGTTATGAGTAATTGAGTCATTGCAGCTCATGTCATTTGATACTAAAATATGATTAACTATTTTTACCTCTTCATCACCTTAATTAAAAAACTCTTCCCTATATTGGCTGGATATAGACACGGTGGTTACACTCTTCCTCAAACAGTCAAACCTCATTTCTTCTTAATATCTGGAAATCTTCGAACACATCATTTTACTATAGTACTCCGATCCTACTGGCTACTGGCTTGATACACTGCATAAAAAATATAACCTCATTGGTTGTCAGTTTCTTCTTCTTCTGCCTAATTTTTTTGGCAAATTTCACCAGCCTAATTCAGTCAGAATCACTCTTTCCGAATCTCGTGTTTTCATACCCTAAAATCCTAAATGCAACTCCCGTGTTTTTGGATTTCATGTTCAAAACTCCCGTCATTTTGTCATTTCATGTAGTTAGGATGTTTTTATTTGGACTGAATTTTCTGAGTTGGTCTGTTCTGGGCTGATCTAAACTAGTATGATTTAGTAAATGTCCGGTCTCTGTTATTATTTTATAACTATCCGAGTCTAGTCTAGTCTGGTTTGATCTAATCAGGTCAGGTCATGTATAAGACTGAAACGGTCCAAGTAAAAACATCCAAACGAATGATTCTTTTTTTCATTTATATATATATATATATATACACACACTACGTTTGATCGATTCTCACTGATTTGAACTTTTTGCCTGTGTTGTGGAGGTTGAGGAATGGGTCAAGTGATGAAGAGCAAGTGGAATTTCTGAAAAAATGGATTAAAGTCCACATCGATGACGCGCAGAACACTACTCTTCTTCACAAACCTATGCTCTTGGCCGAGTTTGGGAAGCATGAGCAGGATCCCGGTTACAGCGTCGCAAAGAGGGACAATTTCATGAGGACCGCTTACACAGCCATGTACTCATCCGCCAAGGCCGGAGGTGCGGCGGCCGGCAGCTTGTTCTGGCAAATTATGGTCGAAGGTTTGCCTAATTACAAGGATGGGCTTTCGATCATCCTCAGCCAGAATACCTCCACAAATTACATTATATATGAAGAGTCACAGCGGCTCGCTGAGCTTAGTAAAATGTATGCAATGCTTAAAAACGAGGAGTGGAAGAAAATGAAGAAGAACACTAAGGGGGCAACCGCCAGAGAAATCCATGGAAATGGCAACGGCAATTGATCAAAGAAGAAGGAGATGGAGAAGGAGAAGAAAGTCACATGCATGCAAGAGATTCTACCACATTAATTAATTAAAGAAAAGAAAATTAACTGTCGTATGATTAAAACTAGACAGGTTTCCCAATGTATGACTTACTCTTTATTTTTCCGAGTCTAATGCATCAATGCCATGTATGGTGATGTATTATTATTTTTCTTTTTTCTTATTCCATCATTGCCCTCAAATGCTCAATACATTAACATAGGGTGAAACATTTCCCTTGTTTTTCGGCTACATGATAGGCCATATACTACGTGTATTAATTAATACTCCTAAAAAAGTTGGGTTTATCTCATATATGGTAACTACCGTTGGTGTTGATATTATGGTATGCGTAGGATGTATTGTCGGCACTTACAATAATAACTGATTTTCTTTTGGAACAATAATAACTGATTGAATAACTTAAAATCTTAAATCCATTTTGAGCAGTAATATACTTCGTATATTTAGCACCCCGTTAACCTATTTTAAAAAAAAACTGTTAACCCGGTTTTCAGTCCTAGTTCGCCATAATAATTACTGCCTATATTATTATATAATTAATGCTCATAACTCATAAGTCTATGAACACACATATACTACATATATACTACGTATATTTTACTGCCCTCAGAACAATTTTTTTCACTGTCTAGTACTTACTACTTACTGCACATGCTGATAATTAATGCCTACGTAATTTACTACCATTATCATCATTTGTTCTCTATTACTGCCTATACTTTTTAATGCTCATTATACGCCATACATGCATATGCAATTACTGCCCTATATATATTCACTGCCCTAATATACGGAGTATATGTGAGAATATTACCCAAAATAAGAATAAAAAAGTTTCAAAATTTCAAAATAGAACTTCCATGTTTATATTTCCAAAATATGACTAATTACTGACATGTTTTGGCAATACCAGCCTTCAAACATGACAGTATTTTTCAAACTTGGCAGTAATTGCTCCTATTTTGAGAATAAAAACATGGCAGTCCTATTTTGAAAATTTCATAATTTAATGTCATCCTTGCGTCGGCGGCATTCTCCCCCCTCATTGCCGTATTTTTAATTCGACGAGATTTTAGCTCTAACGGTGTAGGACATTCCTTGATATTATTGGATGTTAGTACTATAATTTCGGAGAAGAAAATTAATGCATAGTACGTCCTTGCTGCCTAAAAAACGGATGCACGCTTTCCTCTCAAAATAAAATACGGAGAAAGCTTTATGTATGCCAATAATGTCAAGGGTATTAAGAGTATTTAATATGGAGGTATTTTGACGCATTATTCCTTGACCATCTATTTACTCATATTAAACATGAGTGAGTTTTCTAGTCATACTTTGGGAAACTGCTTATCTTCTAGTCATTTGTGTATAATCCATGTCATTTGTGATGATTAAGCTATCAAAAATTGAAGTATCCCCAAAAGCCATGGCTGGGAATCAAACCCACATCTCACACATGCTGCTGCTTAGTGTCCATTCCAGCCCCATCTGACCACGATGCTTATTGTTTACTTTGCTGAAAGAAATAATACCAGTATCAGTGGTCTGCCGTTTTGACAAATTGACTTTATTTATTATGTAATAAATCATAGTTTACTTTATAAATCCGAATTATATATGCCAAAGTATCCTTACATCATAAATCCTTATATATTTTTGTTAAAAATTATATTTCACGTTTTTAGTCTAAAATTCCAATAATTGAAATTTAATTTCAGACATATTTTTACTTTATATATGTAATATTTGTGTCACATGAAAGATTATAAAAAATTACTACCTTCGTCCCGAAAATGTTTGCCAAATTGACTTTTTGCTCGATGACAATGAACTTTGACCAATGATATTTTTTAATATGTATTTATTTGAAAATGAAAACTATATCAAACTGTTCTTTATTCAAAATGTTTTAATAAAAGTATTAAATTTATAAATTATCACATTTTAATATTATAAAAAATATTCTTTATTCCGTTTCGAAAAAGTTCACCATTTTCACATTTTTTTGTCAATGATCACAAACTTTGACCAATGATAATTTTAATATGTATTTATTTGAAAATGAAAACTATATCAAATTGTTCTTTATTCAAAATGTTTTAATAAAAGTATTAAATTTGTAAATTAAAACATTTATAATTTTTACATAAATTATTTATAAATTTATGTAAATATGGTGTACTTTTTCAAGACCAAATAAAGATTTTTTTTATAAATTTATGTAAATTATTTTTTGATCATTGACAAAAAATGTGAATATGGTGAACCTTTTCGAGACGGAATAAAGAATATTTTTTATAATATGAAAATGTGATAATTTGCAAATTTAATACTTTTATTAAAACATTTTGAATAAAGAACAGTTTGATATAGTTTTCATTTTCAAATAAATACATATTAAAAATTATCATTGGTCAAATTTCATTGCCATCGAGTAAAAAGTCAATTTGGCAAACCTTTTCGAGACGATGGTAGTACTATTTTATAATCTTTCATGTGACACAAATATTACATATATAAAGTTACATATATAAGATGGTGTGTAAATATATAATATACTACGGATTTATGATGTATAGATACTTTGGTATACTTTGGCATATATAATACGGATTTATAAAGTAAATTGTGATTTACTCCTCGTTGGCATATATCCAACGAGGAGTTCTTGGGAGATGAGCTCCCTTAAAAGGAGATGCACCTCTGTTGGTATGAGTAGTACTATTAATCCGTTTATATTAAATCTCAAGTGTTACAATCACCCCCACTTAGGATCGCAACGTCCTCGTTGCGTCCTTGAACCAATCTCAATCACACCCCAGAATCTTTTCCCCTGCTAAGTGCCCGCCCGATATCCAACGGATCAACACACTGTCGCAGGGTTGCTCTGATACCATTTGTAACACCCCGGCCCCACCGGACCCGAGGTAGTTACTCCGGACCAATAGTACTGTCCCCACAAACCACCACGAGCCTTTACCGCGCACTTTGTCCTCACTCATGCGCGCCCTGAGAAACTTCCCAGGGGGTCACCCATCCCAAGACTACTCCCGAGCAAGCACGCTTAACTTTGGAGTTCTTGGGAGATGAGCTCCCTTAAAAGGAGATGCACCTCTGTTGGTATGAGTAGTACTATTAATCCGTTTATATTAAATCTCAAGTGTTACACATACCCCTTACCCCAACTCCACCCTGTACCCCCTACCTACCCCTTTACACCATACCACCTGTCCCTACCCCAGACCCACCCGATCCTGACCCACCCCTTGCGAGTAGGGTTGGGGTTAGGGGTTAAGGGGTATGGTTAGGAGGGGATGTATGGGAGTAGTAGGGGTAGGGTTAGGTAGGTAGGGTGTGGTCGGGTAGGTAGGGTAAGGGTAGGGGTGGGGTAGGGGGTGGGGTTGGGGTAAGGTAGGGTGGTAAGGGGTTAGGGGGTATAGGTACACATATTATATTATATACTTGTGTTCATGAATGTTTGTGTGTATATATATGTATAGGGTTATTTTGGACATTTTAATGTTAAGCGGTGTTTTAAACCGTTTGAAGTAAACACGGTCTTACAACATTGTTTATTTTATGCGCCGCTTATTAACACGGATCTTAATAAGCACCGTTTAATAACCGGTGAAGTAAACATGTCCTAAGCATTGTGGTCGGACGGGGTTGGAATGGGTACTAAGCAGCAGCACGTGGGATTGACGTGTGTTCTATTCTTGGGCACTGCTTTTGGGGATACTTAAATTTTTTATAGCTTTTTTTTGAACTCCAACCAATATATATATTAATTCTCCAAATCATGTGCCAACAAGCTTACAATAGAGTCAGGAATACTATCATACCAACAACACTGATCCGAGATGGACACATGTGCTCTTGCTAACGCATGAGCAACACGATTCACGGATCGCTTACAATAAGAAACACTGAAATTACTCTTATCTTTCAACATCTGTCTAATATCATCAATAATAAGAAAAAGTTAAGATGAGTCTTCTTCATTCCTTAATCCCTGAACCACCGAGAGAGCATCCGTTTCCACCTCCACCCAATCCCATCCTGCCTGAGCTGCTCCAATCAAAGCATCTAGAATCCCCGTCGCCTCTGTTTCCATTACTGTCCAATTGGCTGCTACAGAGACTCCTTTTGCTTTTAAGAAAGCTCCCGCATGATCTCGTGCTACCCATCCCCACGCCCTAGTTTGTGTCGCCTCATCCACCGCCCCATCCACATTAATTTTAATAACCCCCTCTCGCGGCCGCTTCCAAACATGCACCCCATTCTTTTCCTTTCTAGCCTGATCTAGAGCCTCAGAACCTTGGGCATCTCTCCACCCCGTAATAATTCCTGCCGCTAAATTTATAACACCCACCGCCCCCTGCCATTTATCCTTCCAAACACATCCATTTCTCCTTTTCCATAGACTCCATAAGGTGGCTATAAACTTGCACCAATCTTCCTCACTTGGCCCGTCCAGCTGCCTCCAGAACCACTCATTCACCGATTCTGCCGGTCTTCCCAGATCCACTCCCAATTTCCTCCATACCTCTTTTGCCCTTTCACATCCTCGCAGGGCATGATCCGTGTCCTCCATCGAGTCACCACACACTTTACATCCACCAGAGACCTGCACACATTTCTTCCTCAAATTCTCAACAGTAGGAAGAGAGCCATCAACAGCCTGTCAAGCAAAGTATTTAAGTTTCGGAGGGATATGCAAATTCCATAACCGAGACCAGTTCGAACCATCCCCAATCTGCATCTCACCCACGAGCAAGCGATAACAGCTCTTCACAGTAAATTTCCCACTAATCTCGCCATTCCACCAGTACTCATCCTTTCTGTCATAAGAACTAATGGGAATGCTTAATATCTTTTGCCTGTCCTCTTCATTAAAAATGCTACATATTCTCTCCCTGTTCCATTTTCTCCAAGTTATATCTCGCAAAGCCGCAACATTCATATCTCTGATTCCAGTGGGTCTTACTGAGGAAACCCGAATGATGTGGATAAAAATGATGACTAGGATATACATGTAGATTTCCAGAGGACAAGTGACATTTTTTTGCTGGAATATTGAATGGTACCGCCCGATGCAACATTATATTTGAACATAGGTGAGGTATTGATTTGCTTCATTAAAGAGTTAAGGTATTAAAATGCAACATTACCAATAGTTGATGTATTGTTTATGCATTTTGATCGAAATTGTAATCTCGTTTAATGGACTTTAATTTTGAATACTTATCTATATGATATCATTAAGAAAATAATTTT